TGGATTACAGAATTACACATGTGGTATGAATATCAGAAATCTCTCTACCTTTCAGTTTTCCTTGGTTTTCTAGAGAATCAAGCTAGGTTTAATCATTCTTTTTTCATAGCCAGGGTCACTTGCCAAAACGAAGCATTGGAAACATGTATTGGATATATGTCTATCATACAGTTAGAAAGCATATTCAGGAATTGCACCTTATGCTACATTATTTACAAGTTTATTTGTGATGGCTGTTAGGTGCATAGAAAAAGATCCTTGGCTTAAAATGTGTCACATTCTAATAATCAACCTTCTGATATTTATATCTGTCATGGATTGAATTATGTCCCCCAAAAAATGTGTGTATCAACTTGGCTGGGCCATGATTCCTGGTATTGTATGATTTTCCTATATGTTGTAAATCCTGCCTCTATGAAGTCAATGAGGGAGGATGGGTGGCAGTTGTGTTAGTGAGGCAGAACTCAGTCTCCAAGATTGGATTGTGTCCTGAGGCAATCTCTTGAGATAGAAAAGACAGAAGTGAGCAGAGAGACAGGGGGACCTCATACCACCAAGAAAGCAGTGCCGGGAGCAGAGTGTGCCCTTTGGTACTGCGGTTCCTGTGCGGAGAAGCTCCTAGTCCCAGGGAAGACTGATGAGAAGGCCAACAGAGAGAGAAAGCCTTCCCCTGGAGCTGACACCCTGAATTTGGACTTTCAGCCTACTTTACTGTGAAGAAACAAATTTCTCTTTGTTAAAGCCGTCCACTTATGGTATTTCTGTAGTAGCAGCAGTAGATGACTAAGACAATATCATTTTCATAAAATATGATACATGTTTGTAAGCATGTACAGATTCTAGGGGACTTGTACCTAGTGTTATAGAGATAGGCATGCAGCAGCTGTGATTTTCTGATAAGATTGTATCATGAATGTCAGACTTAGAGCTGGAAGATCAGGGTTCCAATTTCAGCCCTCCCACTTACTGCTTTTGTGACCTTGGGCATGTAGTTTAACCTCTTTGAGCCTTGGTTTCCTTGTTTGTCAAGTGGAGATATTATGTCTTATTTCAATGTTTTGTTGCGAATTTTGTTCGTTATTTATTCATACTTTACCTCATTCGACAAAGGATTGAAATGACATACATATTTGTTGAAGATAAAATGCAATATACTTGCCAGTGCTTTGTAGATTATGCAAATATAAGCCACTAGCCACCACTGTGGGACCAATTTGAATTCCTTGGGAGGGCTGTCTATTCGAAGGAAAGTGATTCTAAATACATGTCCCAGAGACTTCCATTTAATAATTTCAGATATAACAAATATTTATGCATGTATGACATAGAATGGCTATAGGTGCCAATTTAAAATAAGACTACAAGAAAGAAAGACTATTCAAGACCTTTTAGATTGAAGACCATTTGCTAACTAATACAAGTATCAGACTCTCACATGCTAGTCCTTGACATTAATTGAAAAGAAAGTATATATAATGATGAGAAGCTCTGAAGGATTAAGTAATTTTTTTCAATAAATTTGTGTTTTGTTAATCATAACAAATGTGCAAAGTTTTCAGAAACAGTAGAGCTCATATGTACGAGTCATTTTTATTTGGCTTGAAGACAGTACTTCCTGCTCTTTCGGTATGTGGACACCTCATAGTAACACAGAGGCTTTGAAATAACAGTCACGCATCGCTTCTTTCCTCCAATTCCTTTTATAATCTTGTGCCATATGCCTTGCTCTTGGGTTACTAACTGTGCTTATCTAGCCTCTGCATCTAACACCTGTTGCTCTGGCAGGGCCTAATAGCTTTTATCAGCTCACCCAGTGGCTCTTACACTTTAATGCTTGAAACTCGGGACTTAACCATGTGGTGCCAAGCCCATCTGAATAGGTCAGCTGCTCTCTGTAACTGATGGCTATTTATGCCAAGACAGCCACAAGACACTGGCCCTCCCTTTGCCAAGGAAATGGAACCTATGGACTAAAGCTAAAGGCTCTTCTGCCATGCCCCGTCCAATTCCCGATGTCTAATTTTGTCTTAATATAGAGAAATTACTGGTGTGTTGTGAATTGCAACAAAGTTAGACCCTCTCCCCTTTGTACTATTTTTTGAACTCCTTTGTGTGTTTTTCCCCCTAATATCTATGTAGTATAAAGGAGCCCTGGTGACTCAGTGGTTCGAACCCACCAGCTGCTCCCCAGGAGAAAGATGTGGCAGTCTGCTTCTGTAAAGATGTACCGCCTTGGAAACTCTATGGGGCAGTTCTACTCTGTCCTAATAGGGTTGCTTTGAGTCAAAATTGACTTGATAGCAATGGTTTGGATATTTGTCCTAAAGTTAAAATTGTTAACAATCTATTTCTGCATACCTGACAAGCATGCTTACCTTCCCTCCTTCTCTGAAATAAATTATCTAAAGAAATTTTTTAGATGAGCCCGTTTTCTTTTAAATTAAAAAAAAATCAATTATTTTCTAAACAATGAAACTATTTGAAAACTTTCAGTTGACATTATAGTTCATGTTACACAGATAAATGATCATGTAATAAATTTTCTCTCCTTTATAGTAGATGAAACTGCATTCTCAGTAAATAATGGAAAATGTAGGGTTGATAAGAACTTTCCAAAATGTATTATATTCAACAATATGATTTCCCTAAAATTAATAGCTGAGGTTTAGAAAGCTATATCAAGGGGAGACTACAGTTTCATGGTTCAATGCCCTGACCTCAACGTAGAACATATTTGGAGTTGAATTCTGGGGTTTCCATTTGCCAGTTTTGTATTCTTGAACAGTAATTTAAACTCTCTTGGACTCTGTTTCCTCGTATCTATAATGACGATGATAATACCTAGCTTACAGGATTTTTCCAAGGGTAAAATAAGGCACATATGTAAAGTGCCTGATAAAATGTTGGGTACACTGCAGTCACCAAGTCAATGGCAGTAGCTGCTGCTGTCGTTCTTGTTATTGATAAACCGAGAAAGGAGGAAAACTGACCTGGAAGTTTGGATTCTCCAGGATCCCTTCTGCTAAAATCAGGTTAGGGAAAATCACCCTCAGAAAGACCATAATATCCAGGCAGGGAACAGGCAGGGAGGACTGATGTAAAAGAACGGGACCAAGATACTGAATTCTATGCTGGGAGCCCAGTCCCCCACTTCGGACTTCTTTCCCTCTGCTATTTTGCCACTAATCATAAAGTGTGACAGTACTACCTGTCTTGGACAGGTTACTTCACTGAACTTAACAATAAAACACCTCAGTTTTCATTAATGGACACTTGGAACCTTTATATATCCTAATCCTCATCCTGCGCCTCTTCCTCTCTTTTTCTTTCTCTCTCTTCCATAAAAAGAATTTAGCACCTCATTTGGGGATATTATAAAAGCTGAAAGGATTAGAGTTTAAAATAATGCAGTGAGTGGTTGACAAGCTGCATGTATATACACTTTCTTGCTCTCTCTTTCTTATCCCATTGCATTTACATATAGCCTTTCAAAGAAACAGAATTCATCTTTCATTTGCTTAATGCCGTTCACTCCTTTGTATTTAATTGGTCCAGTGGTTTCCTTTACTTAAATTTAGCATTTATCAATCTCGCAACTAGCAATGCATGTTGTAGTATTAACAGAAAATTCCATGGGACCCTCCTCACACAGGGGAAGGGAAACATCTGCTACTTTCATATTATGATGCCAGGATTTAGAGGTCATTGTGTTTCCCTATCAAGACTTAAGGCTTTGGGGATCAGGAGAGTGTCAGGCTCCAAGCAGCATAAAGAATCACATTGCTGACTAGCTTGGTTTGCCTGTTCTCAACAGGGGATATTTCTTTCTGTATAATGAGCTGGGACTTGGTGTGCTAAACACACCCAGCTTGGGTAGTGAGGCAGGCTGTGCCTTTTTTTTTTCCCCTGGATCTGAACTGCATTTTTGTCTTGGAAGAAATTATACTGAGGTCTTCATTAGTGGTACCCAGCAGGGTTAAGGCTCCATGAGGGCTGATAAGCACTATGGCTAAAAAAAACCTTCAGCCTTTGTGCAGGGAGCTGAAGGTTTAAGTTGCCTGAACTGGAAAGAGTCTGAAGAGGTGATTATGTGAAACAAGTAATGTGTATCAGTAACATGGAATCAAATTATTAGGGTCAATAACTTCCTGGCTTTCCCAGTGCATTAAATGAAGACATAACATTGCATTTGTGCTGGGTACTTCTTGATGCCATGTAGTGTCAGCACTGTCCGGTCGTCTGTACTTCACAGCCTGTCACCTCTAATTTCATGAGATTATCTGCACTGTTGCTTTATTATGGACTCATGATCTTGAGCCTCTTTTGAACTTGCAGCAAGGCAGTGCAAACTCATTATTGTGAGCCCTTCTGTGCTTTTTGTGTTATATACAAAATTATTATGACCGTCATTTAGAAAGGTAGATATATTCTAGTCTCATGTTTCTAAAGATCTGCACTCATTTGCTGGTAAGAGGAGTCACTGAAGGGGAAAACACTGGATGTGAAAGACGTTTTGAGGACTTGTTAGAAGGAGTCAAGGCGTGGAGGTATTACATAGGACAGTGGTTCTCAAAGTGTTGTCCCCTGGCCAACAGCATTAGAATCTCAGCAAACTTGTCAGAAACGCAAATCCTGCTGAATCAGAACCCCTGAGATGGGGCTCAGCAATCTGTGTTTTAACGAGCCTTCCAGGTGATTCGGATTAAAACTAAAGTATGAGAAACACTGCTATAAAATTATTGAGATCAAAGATGGGATAGATCCATGTTTTTGGAATACAGCCATGGACAGGATGGAAGAGGTATCTGCTCCCATGGATCTTATTAAATTACAAAGGCATATGTGGTACTTAGCTCTGATGAAATGTTTATACATATACAACACAGCCTATAATTATCATAAATCGCATTAGGTTCATTTGCATTAGCCTGTCGTCTTCCTTGGTTTTGCAGAATGACTAATGAAAGATGACTAACAAGTGATTCCTTTGTACGTTTCAGAACCATCCCCCTTGCAATATGTATATCTATGGCCATCGTCACCACTGGCTATGTGCTAACGAACGTGGCCTACTTTACCACCGTTAGCGCCGAAGAGCTGCTGCTTTCAAATGCGGTGGCAGTGGTAAGTCCAAGTTGGGAAAATGCCAATTTGTATTTAGGTTAATGAGTAGATGCAATTGTATTGTAGTCCCTCCAGCAGAAAGTGTTTTGAAATTCAGTAATTTTTTCTTGACTTGAATGATAATGAATATTTAAAAAATTAGAACACATCTGGGCATATCCATTTAACTGATAACAGCTAAAATCCTATATGATTTCCCTGTATGGTTAATTCCATTTACAGCATTCCACATATACATGCTTGGAAATCTATCGAGGCCTGTTGAGTAGTAGGCATTATTAATCTTCCAACATGTCTCAAAGGAAAAATGGGCAATTACAAGACCTAAATGAATATATGCTTGTGTGTGCGTATGTGTGTACAAACTGCAGTTTATTCTGTACCCTTTCTGTTAGCAACCTTTTCAAATCTTAACTTAAAATCCTTTTTCCAAAGTAACATTTGGGAATTTCTAAGTTGACCATATATATTTGTCTTTCCTAATATACCCTTTTGAATACTAAAAACCAAAAAACCAAACTCGTTGCCATGGAGTCGATTCTGACTCATAGTGACCCTATAGGACAGAGTAGAACTGCCCCATAGACTGGTGACTTGAACTGCCAGCCTTTTGGGTAGTAACCATAGCTCTTAACCACTACGCCACTAAGGCTCCTCTGAATGCTACTCTTGGGATATTTATAAATTTGAAAAATACCGGGTTATTCAAAGTCAAAAAGGTGTCACTGTTGCAGCACTTCTCAGAATTCTAAAGGTGCTAACGTGCATTTTAACTCCCTAAGAGATGGATTTGCAGAATTTTGTAGAATTTTCAGTATTTATTTGACTTCAGGAGACTCTTTTCCTCCTAAAGGGGAGAAAACCTCTTTCCCCAAAGATTATGTTATGGGAACATTATTCTGTGAGATATACTTTTATTTTGTATGAAAACTTACCTAGTAAGAGAACGTTCGTTGTGACCTCATAACAATGAAGGGTAAAAAGTTCATTTCCCAACCCGGATGTCAGTTCCTTTAAAAATAGGCAGTATTACCTCATATCAGCAACATCTACAGGGAGCACATGATCCCATTTTGTGTGAACCTACGTGGGAGTTCACTGTATTAGAAGAGAGTTTGCTCACTGCTGGGAGTCTTACCAGACAATCAATCATCCAAACCTTACTGATGTCAGGTCAGTCATCTCATCTTAGTGGACAAAGGGCAGCGCTTCTTTTGTGCATAATGCAGTCCATTAATTGCATAGTAGCAAATGTGTCAAGGACAGCTATGGAATCCTACATACATTTTAGAAAAATACATCTGCCATGGAAATTTGCAATGTTGCACATACTATGACATAGTGGGAAATTTTATTTCTCTTTTTTATTTTCTGTGGTCCAATTTTCTTGGACTGGTATTAGTGTTCATGCCTTTTTATAGGAAACCACAGAATATATAGGCAGATAGTGGACAGAGAGGGAGGGACTCAATAAACAGAGATTTAGCTAGTATGATTTTTCTGGGGGAAAGTTTTCAGAGCTGCTCGTATATATGTTAGACCAAAAAAGCCAAACCCGTTGCTGTTGAGTTGACTCTGACTCATGGCGACCGACAGAGTAGAACTGCCCCATAGAGTTTCCAAGGAGCGTCTGGTGGATTTGAACTGCTGACCTTTTGGTTAGCAGCTGTAGAACTTAACCACTGCACCACCAGGGTTTCCATATATATGATAGAAGTGATTAACTTACCAATTATTTTCCCCTACCTTTCATATCTTAACAGTGGGTTTGGTGTATGAAACAAGTATATGTAATACTTCTCAATGTACACTTGTACTTCACTATAAAAATGCTGCCTTCTAGGCTAAAGAGAAGGTATTTTACAAAGGATTTCTGTCTCCAAAAGTATAATTTCTGAATAGAGCTATTTCTACCAACCAGAGGCAGAGAAGATACATGTGATAGTTGATAAAGATTCGGTTATTGGATCGTTGCTTTTGGGAAGTAGGGAGAAGGTGCTTGTTTAGACCTTTGTCCGCAGTTTTGCAGCAAGCAAGGTCATGGTCCTGCTTTTTACGATTGTCTGCAGAGTTGGTCTGACCCTAACCAAAGAGGGATTATAAAACACACACGTATCGCCAGGCTCATAGGAAACTATAGAGTAAGTTTGGCCTAAATTGTTTCATTTTATTTCACTTTCTGGCAAAACATTAATTTGCTTCGTTCTGTCTTTCACTAGACCTTTTCTGAGCGGCTACTGGGAAATTTCTCATTAGCAGTTCCGATCTTTGTTGCCCTCTCCTGCTTTGGCTCCATGAATGGCGGTGTGTTTGCTGTCTCCAGGTGAGTGAGTTCAAGTATTCCTAGAAAAATATTTCTGTTTTGGAGATTAGATGTGATAAGGATAACTTTAAAAAGAAAAGAGCCAGTGCTTCCAAAGCTCTTGTTTTTAAAGGGGCGTGCAAAATTGAAATCTTCCTCTGAATATCAAGAACATGTCTTATTCTGCCCATTAGAGGGCACTGCTTGTCTACTCATAGCCCATCCTGAAGCCGGGCATGTGGCATTTTTTTATAGTATGTCTACAGAGTCTAACAACAGCATTTTATTTCTGGTCATAAAATCTTTTGTTTCTCTAAAAGTGACCAAAAAAATAAATAAATAAGGTAAGATACGCCAGAAATCACCACTACATCATCTGTATTCTCTGTCTTGATTGATGCAAGAGTCCCTTTTGTCTTAATATGCCATGATTAAAACCTAATCGATAAACATGAATGTTATATATTCTTGTGCGCATGCATGCATGTGTACATATGTGCATAGGTACGTATGTGTGTGTATGCATATATATTTGATAGATACTCACATAGATACAATACTAGGAATCTAGAAATTAATTCACCATCAACTATTTGTATGTAGGGAGTGCTGTACTGAGACATTGCTATTGTTTTTCCTCAAAAGATAACATAATGTTTTGGCAGATTTTGTAAAATTCTAAGTCAGATTTCTCATGGTGTTCTCTACCTTATCTGAAAAGTTCAACATAAGTAATCGTCTAAGAAATATCAAACTACGTGGTATGAATATGATGTGAGTTTTCTCTTGATGTCTGGATTTTCCCTTTGAAAAGATCAATTGTACGGTCAACTCCACCCATATTTTTCTTCCACCAGGTTATTCTTTGTTGCATCTCGAGAGGGTCACCTTCCAGAACTCCTCTCCATGATTCACGTCCGCAAGCACACTCCTCTGCCAGCTGTTATTGTTTTGGTAATACATATTAACAAGTATATCTAGATATAAGCTCTAACAGTAGGTTAGCAATGGGGAATTTAAATCAGACTTTAAACAGAGCTGTACTTTCTCATTTATTGCCAAACAGGCTTTATGCATAGCGCAGTGAAGATGGTGGAGGCAGGATATTTTCCATCCCTTCCTTCCCCTTTACTCAGTGTTTCTGATGCATATTTGATGCTTTGGGCAATAACTGCATTACTTCTCTTACACTTTTGTAGGGATTTGTATAGTCTGAGGAACATGATTAGCTTGGCTCCTGTCATTGACATAGACCCACAGAGAAAAGGATGTACAATAATAAGTCCCAATTTTACTTATTGAAAGTAGAGCTAAAAGCTTCAGTCCAAAAACACCCAAATGCCTCATCATAGGTTCCTTATGATGAAATGCACAAAAAAAATTACACAAAGAATCAATGAAATCCGAGACAGTGCAGTGATTCCGTGATTAAAAGTGAGACATTTGAGAGCATCCCTAAAAGGAAGAAATAACAGCACAAAACTTAAATTTGAGTTGTAGAATTCTTTATGCAGGGAGAACTATTTGTGAAATGTGGCATTCAAAAGACAGTATAAGGCGTAAAAGCCCTCAAATACCCATTGGCAAAGTTATATTCATTTCTAAGCACAATTTTGTAACATTTTTTCTCAACTGGAATCTGCTGTCAGGAACACCATAGAATGCCTTGAACATTTTTTTTTTTTTATGCATGTAATTTGCTGCAAAATGTTTTCTTGAGATTTCTTTTTCAAAGTACGTGTACTCTCTGTGCGGAATCTGGAAGTTAACGTCACTTGTGGGAACAGAATGTATTATTCGGTGAAGAGGGTTTTCATTTTCAGCCTCTGCTATCAGTCACGCCGTCCTTGGCATGTGCACCTGCAGAGACTTGCCGTGCTGCGCTCTCTCTGTGCATTGTTCGCTTCGGCACTCTTGAGGGTCACACACGACACGCGTGTGGGGAGTATAAGTGTGGAGGGAGCAAAGGTCAACATTTTGCATCCGGGGGCAAACAGAGTCACCTAGAAGGGCCTGTGTTTCTCGTCTGTGTGTAACCAAGAACATTTGCAGAGCTTTCTGAGACCCTTCCAGTCGGGTGCACTTTTAATCTTTATTATTAGTGATCGACTAATCATCTCAGTTTCTGGGTCTTTAAATTTTCGGTCATTGAGTCTTGTGTCTTTCTCTCTTTGAAAACACCTCTTCTCTTAAATACGAAGGAATCTAAAACCAAAACACCCATAAAAATTCCATTTGGATTTGAGGTAATGGTGATGGTACGTTCATACTGTTACTGCTTTGTAAAAGGATCATAAGAGCAGAAAGTAGAAAGGAGGTTAGTCGAATCTAGGGTTTTAGTTCTTTGGTATAAATTATCATTTGAAAAAAGATAATAGTACATGCAGTGTTGCTGGTGTTTATTATCACCTATGTTCTCGTGTTCTCTTAGTTCACTGAACTTGGATTTTTTTTCCCCTTCCTGCAGCACCCTTTGACGATGGTAATGCTCTTCTCGGGGGACCTGTACAGTCTTTTGAATTTCCTCAGTTTTGCCAGGTGGCTTTTTATTGGGCTGGCAGTTGCTGGGCTGATTTATCTGCGATACAAACGCCCAGATATGCACCGTCCTTTCAAGGTAACCTCAGTAATCTTGATGGGTTTACATAAATCTTTCTCTTAGTCCCTATGCCTCCCTTTGTCATTACCTGATGATGTGAAGGTTGGGCAGGGGGTAGCATCCTCTGGAATAAAACGTTTAACTCTTACAGGTGGTACCTTCACATGGGATTTATTTTAGCTTGGAAAAAATAGTTTATCTCTTTTTTTATGTAATGTGCTAAACTTTGTATGTGACATTTTTGAAAACAGATGGTATTAAAGGATGTTTGTTATGTTGATTTTTCATGCATGTGTCCAATGGATTGATATGTTCAGAGAATGAGACCCTTCTATCTATCTTTATACTGAATAGTTGTGTACAGCCGTGCTCAAAAAAGCAAGAGGCAGATATGGAATTACCACTAATTAGAACTCTAAAAACGATGCTGCACTTACGTATTCTTAAATGTTATGACTTATTACATTGCTTAAGTTCTCCTTTTCTAATTAGACACTCTGAAAGGAATACAAATGTAAAATATACAGAGAAAGGGAAGATCTGTAAGTTTACAGTTCAGTAGGATGTCCATTTACCGTATCTAAGAATTTCCTTTTAGGAGGACTCAAGAATATGCTTCTCATCTCTTTCACCCTTGAATGTTTATGGGATTGGTTTGACCTCACCATTTATTCACTTTTAAGAAATAACACAGATAATGTTGTCAGAATTTGTTTCTAATTACATTCATTGCCTAATGCTGCCAGCATCTTTGTTAGCGGTTGAATGAGAGTTGGCCTATTTTATTTCTGTCAGTTCTTGTAGTAAATCTCCTACAGAAAATCAATAGGCACTAAAAGGCTTTAACGTGTAACAAGCAGCCAGTGCTCTTGACTCCACATTAAAGTGGATTCTAATCATAATAACCAAGGAGCCAATCTCTTAAAGTCAAAAACATAAATCATAATGGTACTTAACTAGTAAAAGAATTCAAACGAAACTTCTAAGGAAGCACCGTTTCTTAGAAACAACCTGAAGGAGTATTTTTAATGCATTCTCTGTGTTCCGTTAAAGAGAATTTGCTATCAAGGTAAGGTGGGAGGGTGCCCGTGATCTGGTCGCATGACTGAAGTGTATCACTTGATCACACGTTTGAAATGATTCTTTCTTTGCTGTTTTCCAGGTGCCACTGTTCATCCCAGCGTTGTTTTCCTTCACATGTCTCTTCATGGTGGCCCTTTCCCTTTATTCAGATCCTTTTAGTACAGGGATCGGCTTCATCATCACTCTGACTGGGGTCCCTGCATACTATCTCTTTATTATCTGGGACAAGAAACCCAAGTGGTTTAGAAGAATGTCAGGTAAGAATCTTTAAGCAGTTTTAGAACTTTTTGAGAGACTGTGTTCAGAAAACCCATACATAAGTACATACATAACATGCATATGTTAAAATTCAAAAACAATACAATTGGAACAATTGCTAGTTTGAATGCATTATTGCATTTTCATTGGAACTCAGAGAAGGAACAGAGGGAAGGATGTTTAGTGTACAACCAACCACTGAATCCCTTTCAGAATATTTAGTTTGTGCTGCTCAAGTAATTTCTTGGGAGACCAGCTTTTTTAGATATAATTTTATCAGCAGGTATGTAAATGACCTAATTGTGCTTTTGAATCTCTTACTAACCTAATTATTTCTTATTTTAGGTTGAATGACATTTAGGGATTGAATATCATAGGATATAACTTTAAGAGTGACATGAGATTTGGTGAGGAGTTGGGCAGATGCCTGTAAAGGTCTAAATACCATAATAATAACATTCCCCTAATGGGGATGGAAACCCTGGTGGCATAGTGGTTAAGTGCTATGGCTGCTAACTGAAAAGTTGGCAGTTTGAAACCACCAGGTGCCCCTTGGAAACTCTAAGAGGCAGTTCTACTCTGTCCTATAGGGTCGCTGTGAGTAGGAATCAACTTGATGGCAATGGGTTTGGTTTTTTGGTTAATGGGGAAGGTGAGTGACAGGAGAGTCATAATAGCAAGAATAATGAAGAGAAGAATAACAGCTCACCTTTATTGTGAGATTTCTATGTTTAGCAAATGTATGCCTTTATTTAATCCTTCTGAGATAGGAAAAAAAAAAAATCCCTATTTCATAGATTTTGAGTTGTAGCGTAGGAGAATTCATTTAACTTGCTCCAAGTCACACAGATAATAAGTGAAAGAGCTAGAATTCAAAGACAGGCAGTTTTGTATTCTTGAAAAACCACCCCGGAGGCAGTGAGGATGGATTAGAAAGAAGACGGAGGTTGAAGACAATGAATGTAGGTTGGTGGTTACTACAGTAATCCTGAGGAGAATTGAGGAGGGTCTGAACGCAGGCAGTATTAGCAGGGTCCTAGAGAAAGTGAAAGATATTGAAGAGTTAAAATCAACAGGACTTGGTGATCAGTTAAACTGAGGGAGGGAAACAAATAGGTAGGTAGGTGGGTAGGAAGGGATGTTTATGAACAACCTCTGTTAAAAGTCCTACCCTTTATCAGGTGCTGTGCTGAGTCCTTTACCCATTGCATTCAATCCTCATCAAGATCTGTGTGTGAGGTGGTATGATTCCCACACACAGATAATGAGTAACGAAACCAGGGCTCAAGAAGATGGAAGATTTATTTTTTAGCATACAGGTTGTAAACCATAGAGCTATAATTTGAACCCATGTCTGCTGGACATCAAGATCCATGCCCTTTTTAGATTGGGTACCTGGTAGAAGAGAAAGGTAAAAAGTATATCCAGAAGAGCAGAAATATTCTTGCTGTTAGTTTACAATATAAACTTTGTTCTTCTCCTTTGTTTTAATTTATCATAATTAATTTTAAATAGCCTAGCCAAGTAAAAAGTTCCGGGAGATTTCTGGTAAATTAGTTAATAAATAACTTAGTATTACTAAAAAAAAAAAAAAAAAAAAAGATGAAGAAAGAAAATACTTGGTTTGCATATTCAATCTCCAGTGGGTTACAAAAACTCATTTAAGAGCCAATCATTTAGAGTTTTGCTACTACTCTTTATTAGCTTTTGATTGGTATTTGTTTTCTTTAGAACTTATACTACTATTTATACCTGGATTTTATTTTCAAGCCAGCAATATTATTCCTCAAAGAAGAGTTAGCATACAGACTAGGTTCTTTACGGCCAATGCTGACATACTGATTGCTGAACAGATTATTTAATCTCTGTTTCTTATTAGATCACACTGATTTTCTATAGGATATTTTTAGTTTTTTTTTTTTTTTTCCATTATAGGCACTACAAATAAAGCCTTTGGTGGGGGGATAAAAGTCTTTTTAAACAATGTTTACCATCAGGATGGCTTTTCTTATTACCAAGGTTTAGGACAGGTTAGTGCTCATGATTGTGGGGTCTGTGTCCATCTCTGATCCTAGCTAGAGGCAGTTAAAGCCCCTGAGCACTATGGGAAACCAAGAGTCTTTAGGAAGAAAGAGTGGTTAGCCCTAGAGTTGGACTAGAATGGGAAGGGGCATGATGAGAGAGCGAATTCATTGTTCTACCACATTTAGTAGGTATTTTGTTCCTCCTGTTTGTGGTCAGCCAAAGCTGAAAGTTCTCTCCTTTCGCTCACATGTACGTGTTTTGTACCGTTTCGTCAGTGTATACCAACTAGCAGTGTTTATGCTTGATCTTATTTTGGTGTCTTTTCATGCTCATGTGATTTTAAAGGTTTTTTTTTTTTCGCTATTTTTCTATCTCTGATGGGTTCTGAACATCTACAAGTCCTCCAAGTTTTGCCTTAGCCATTTGTGAAACTAGCAGCGATGTAGTAGTCCCATAATGGTTATTTGGTTCTCAGAAACGCCATTAAGGCTTACCAGGGAGCATGGCAATTGTGCCTTTAAACTGCAATCATTGTAACTGTTTATCTTTATAGCTGCCTTGCAAGTGAGTAGCAAAAAGCAACAGTCCTCCATAATTTTGTTTGATTTTCCTCTTAGGCAGCATTCTTGTAGTAAAATAAAGAAAATTCATAATATTTATTTCTGCAATAGCAAGTACTTTCCTCGCCTTTGGCCAAAACAAAACGCTCACACACAGACACACAAACAACAGTGACCCCCATGGAGTCCTGAACTACCCTCTGCCCCCACCCTCGACTACCTCTTTGTTGTTAGAAAGAAACTCAGTGTGAACTTGGAGGCCAAGAGAGCCTTTGCTTGGAGGAGTTTGCTCAATGATTTCACACCATATTGTTTTGTTTGGTAAAATTCTTTATACTTTATATTATCATTTATTTTTACCTTAAGATATATGAGCAGATTAGCCCTTTAAAAATGATAATCTATCAAAATATATCTTACCTAAAGTGCTTTCATGAAGAAGGAGACTTTCCCAGACAAGAGATGGTGTAAGGCTGCTTAGTACCAATACCCAGGAATTTTCTGAACCGGGAGTCTGAGATTTTCAGAGATTTGATGAATTTCTGTGGCCACAGGATGCCAGTATTGAACCACGTTTTGTGTGATAGCATTGCTTGGTTGAAAAGAAAATGTGGTCCCTTAAGGGAATACTTAGACACATAGAAAAAAAATTTTTTTTTCTGCCATCTGTGACAGAGTGGTTAATTCTCCTGGTTATTTATTTATTTTTAGAAACACGAGCTTCTCTCATAAGGAAAAAGGGGAAGCTGCCCCAGTGATAGATTTAAATACACAGAGGTAGCAAAACCCAGCAAACTCCAGCCTGGGCTCGCATTCTACTTGGCTGTCTCTGTTTACTGGCTGAACACGGTCACAGCTGAGAGTGGAAGGGTTGGCTGGAGGTTGGTCCGTCTTGCTCAGGGAGAAATAGGGAGGCGAGTCTTATTGAAACAAAATCTTTGTTTATAAAAAACAATACTGGACAACACCAGCAGAATGACTGTAATCCATTTTTGTGGACAGTGATTTTGCTGCCTTCATTTATGATATGTCGCTGACAACTGGCTAATGCATGTGATAGACTTTTCACAAAGCCTACATTTTTAATTAATTAAGTGTGCCTACATTTTTTTTGGTACCCAAACTATCTTCATTGTAAGGACAGCACGAGATTATGCAAGTAAAAAGGTTTTCAATTCTTTGAAAAAATACGATTCTTATTATGTCTTCCTGGGTGGCCTGGCTTTGTGCTAATACTTCATAAACTTCTTCAGTTTCAGCTACAGTTCCTACCCTTGTTATCAAGTGTGGTTGGGTAAGCCCGACTTTGCAAGGTCAGTTGTTGTTTCAATTTATTTCAAGAACAACTACTGAACAGTACTGAGAAAAAAACAAACCAAACCTATTGCTGTTGAGTCGATTCCAACTCATAGCGACCCTACAGGACAGAGTAGAACTTCCCCATAGGGTTTCCAAGGAGTGCCTGGTGGATTTGAACTGCCAACCTTTTGATTAGCCGCCATAACTCTTAACCACTACGTCACTAAGGTTTCCGAACAGCACTGAAGGTAAAGCTAAAAAATACCAATATTGCTGTTTGTCTTGTAGCTTACACCAAATGTAAGCTACAAGACTCATCAGCTCAAATTAATCTATCTAAAGAAATAGTATCATGGAGTTGATTGTCCCCAAAGTCAGAAGCCTTATGTGAGCACGCGTGTAGACATGGCATGCATACTCTGCAGTTTTCGCAGGCAAGCAGGAAGCTTATTTGGCTCTGTTGAGTACCTTTGTCTGACTCCACTGCTCTAGATATCCTAGAATAAAAAGTTGATGTGGCTCCAATAATTACTTAGTGCCAAAATCAGTCATCCAGCAGAAACCTCCATCGTGATGAGAATTATTCAAATCTGGAGTTCTCAAGAGAGAACATGAGAAAGCCACAGGAGAGACGGTCTACGGGGGATGAAACATGGAGAAAAAGGAAGGGCTGGGTGTGCAGAACCAGAAGAGAGGTTCCTTGACCATATTATGCTGCCAAATAGAGGGTCCAGATTGAGCTTTTAGGGAGGAAAATGACACTCTAGGAAAGCAAGGAGACCTAAGTTGCTCTCCATTTGTCTGGAACCCCGGCAGTGGGGTGAAATGGAGAACAAGATGTCTAGTAAGCAAAGATCTGGGAGTCCCAGAATAGAGAAAAGCACTTTTGGAAATGACATTAGTGTTAGGTGTGAAGTTGCAGACGTTGCCTAAGGAAAGCAGTCGTTGTGGAGATTAGTTCAGGAAGCTGAGGCAGGACCTCTCCAGGAAGGAAGTATTGGAGAGGACATCTCTTTAACCCCATTGCTTTGCATTCAATCATGGAAAATATTTAAGGCCACCTGTTTTTTCAGTTTACTATCAGGTAGCTAGGAAACCCTGGTGGCGTAGTGGTTAAGAGCTACGGCTGCTAATCAGAAGGGTGGCAGTTGGAATCCACCAGGTTCTTCTTGGAAACTGTATGAGGTAGTTCTACTCTGTCCTATAGGCTCACTATGAGTCGGAATTGACTCTGTGGTAGTGGGTTATCAGGTAGCTCTAGCTTCTTTGCCTGCAAAGCCACATCTCCCTTTCTCCCTTACTATTGATTGGTATTTAGTTTTACCTCCAAAGTTTATTTTTATGGGATGACCTTAGCAATTCCCTTTTCTCTAAACATGGGCTTCAATTGCTCTTGAGTGCTCCCTTGTGTTCCACTTCCATCTCAATATAAAGAGTGGGCTGTGACAAAATATAATTCTTTAAGGAACATTTATTTACATAGCGCTTACCATTTGCCAGCATTGTTCTGAGCCCTTTATAATTAATGTATGCTATAAAAACTAGTGTGCCGAGGAAAGCAACCTTGGGGAACCTTGCTTTAAAGGATGAAAAATACAAAATTTTAGGGGCATTGAATATTTCTTGGGATGGGCTGTTACAGATGACAAGTCATAAATGAGGAGAAAGATTTTTTGTCTGGGTGAGATACACCCTGAGTTTAAAACCATCATGACGACAAGCTCTAGGGTGCTCCAGGACCAGTGGAAGTGTGAAGAAGTTCTGTAGGGATTGACCATAAAGGTAAGAGTTAAACAAGAACTACCATACCTGGAAACCAGGATCACAGAAATTCTAGGATTGATGAGATAAAATGACATAAGAGTAATCTGGTCCAGTGGTTCCTACACTTTAGTGTGTATCAGAATCACGGATTCCTGGACCCCACGTTCAGGTTCTGATTCAGTATGTCTAAGATAAACCTGGGAAGTTGCATTTCTAATATCTCAGGTAATGCCAGTATCGTGGTTCTGGTGAGACCCTTTGAGAACCACTTTGAGAACCACTGATCTAGTCCTAGCCCCTCATTTTACAGACGAAGCAAATGAGGCCTTGGGAGATAAGAGGATTTGCTCAATAATACACCACACATTAGAGACTGGAAATAGTATTCCAATTCTGCTCTTGATTCTGCTGAGGAATTCATTGTGAGCTCTTAGGTGCAAAAACAATAAACCAACTTTAAATTGAATATAAAGTTTGTTTTTGAAAATTTATTTACATCTTGGCCCTATTGCCTCAAAATATGTTTAGCCTATTGGGTCATGAATAATAGCCCTTATTTGTATACAAAATATTAATATATTCTTGCTGAGAAGCCATCATGAGATGTTACAGGACTGATAAATAAGTTAATTGAGCATGATAGGATTCTGATAAAGTAAATAATTCTTGAACGTGTTCAATGAAATATGCGGTCGTGGAGTTTCGATATTTGACCCAAAATAATCCATATTTTGCTGTTTTTCTGCATTTCTCATTTCTGTGCATTTTAACTTCTCTTCTTTCTTTATTTATTTTTTTTGTAGACAGAATAACCAGAACATTACAAATCATACTGGAGGTTGTACCAGAAGAAGATTGTGATAAACTGTGAACTAATGCATTCCAATCCTGGGCAACATGGCCTTATTTCTGTCCAAGGGCTGAAATACAACTTGGATCTTTACATCATTTTCTGGAAATCCAGAGAATTTCAAACTTTGGTGATGGACAAAAGGAGTCAGTTCTTCCTATCTGTATCTTATAGAGTATTCAAACTGGTTTCTAAGAAATTTAGGTATAGCAATGTGTAGTTATAGAAAGCTGACATGCAATTGTACCACAAGTTCATATAATTCTTGAGAGTCTCTGATGCCAACTTGTTGGGGTTAGGGAAGATGACTAAGGGAATGGACGACCACTTTAATGATCATCTTATCATGGCTGAGAACCTTCAAATTGAAGACTGAGTTATGTTTTATATATATGGGTACTGTAAACATGATTTTACATACTGTAGATAGCTATACTGTGAAAAGTGTTTTCTGTTCTTCTGGGAGGAAAAAGCATAAGTCATCATTATGGCAAGGAAGAAAGAAATTTACTTTTCATTAGCGTTACAGTATTTCTGCTATATAAACACTCCTGTTTAGATATCGCTTATCTTTTTAACGGGTTATACTCTGAGCATTTTGAACAAAGGAGAGAGGGAAAAATTCCTGGTTCTCTTGAACACATTAAAGAAGTGCCTCCAGGGGCTCTTGTTTATGAGAGAAATCCAGGAAATGTGCTTAAATAAAAATCCTTGGAATTTATTATAATCTAATAAGTATATTACATGTTTTCATTAATTATCAGGAAGTCCATGGTTAGGTGCCATTTTGTTTCCATGTCAGTAAATTTGATTAGGAAAGGATATAACACTATGCCTTTTCCTAGAGCAATAGTCAGTTTGGTATTAAATCCTCTTCAGAAAAACTGCCTGTTTCACTAATAATTTATCACTTGATAAATATATCTAAATATGTACATTTTTTAATCTTTAAATTTCAATGTCAGCGTGAGAAAAATCACCAAGAAAGGACATGCCCAAAATATTATGTCCATCATGGTAATCATCTATGTTCACTGTTCGTAATTCTGATGTACATTTTTTAAATTTCATAACTTTTTACAGAGAGATGAATTTTGACAGTTTATATATTTCCTTTATACATTTTATATTCTGTTAAAACATCCTGTCAGAAAACAACTGTCCATATCAATTAGGAAAATGCATATATTTAGGTAAGAATTGAGAAAAAATGTCACAGCTAAATAAGATTTACAACTGAGGTTTCTAAAAACTTTCCACTTCCGTATCTAGGCTTTGTCAGTAATTTCCATACCTTCATTATCATTCAACTTGCAAAAGAGATAACTGGTAACAATTCATTGGAAGAAGAAGAAACAATGCATAAGTATGTGTCTTCAGACAGGTGTTTTTACATGAGGGTGAGAAAAATATTCTGAAATTTTCAAATGAAAGTAATAGAATGATGAAGTTTGTTAACTATTATTTATATACATGTCAGATTAAATGTCTAGTTATGGCCAGAGCCTGTTTCATCCTTTAATTTTGGTCCATTTGAAAATGAGGATTTTTGAAAGAATCTATTTATTAAGAATTTATTTATTTATTTTTTTAATTTTTGGTTTCGAATATCACTTGAAGGAGCCCTGGTGATGCACTGGTTAAGAAATTTACTGGTAACCGAAAGGTCATTGGTTTGCATCCACCAGCCGCTCCATGGGAGAAAGATGTGGCAGTCTGCTTCCATAAAGATTACAGCCTTGGAAACCCTATGGGGCAGTTCTACTCTGTCCTATAGGGTCGCTATGAATTGGAATCGACTTGACAGCAATGTTTTTTTGTTTTTTTAATCTCTTTGAATCTATCACTCTGCATGTTAACTAGACTACATATTATTCTTTCTACCATTCTCAAAAATGATTTTTGTTTTTTTTTAAATTTCAAATGCCATTGTAATGTCATTTTAACTAGCCAGAAATTCAGTCAGTACTATAAAAAGAAAATGATGGAGATTAGTTGTGCTTCAGCTTATTTTTAGGACACATCATGACAAGATACGGAGTTTTTGTAACCAGGGAATCAATGTTTATAATTTTGGTTCATAACGGTAGCATGAGCCCTAGTGGTGCCATGGTCAAGAACTCAGCAGCTAACCAAAAGATTAGCAGTTGGAATCTACCAGCCACTCCTTGGAAATGCTATGGGGTAGTTGCACTCTGTCCTATAGGGTCGCTAGTAACTGGAATTGACTGGACAGCAACGAGGTTTTTTTTTTTGGTTTAGAGCATAAACTCTCAGAAACTCTCCTGCACACTTTTATATATGTACATTTTTATAGTAACTCCATTTTTTCTTATACATTTAGGAAGATACATACTATATAGGATATATAATTGTTTTAGCATATAAAACAATTTTATATGCTATACCAGTGTACATACTCAAACGTTTATATACATGAGTTTATTATGCCACAAAAAGTAAATGTGGCCACTACAGTGTAACACAACTCATATATATTTTTTCAAACGTTCTGCTTTTTTAGGCACATAAGGTCTCAAGTATTTAGTTATGATTTAAACAGATCTATTCAAGACTTCCAAAGCTAAAATACAATTTTATAAAAGAAAAGATTGTCTTCCTAAATAATTATGAATATTTGCAGTAAATATTTGTCTCACAGTGCTATTTTGATACCATTTTTAAGTATTAGTTTATGTATTAGATTATTTTACTCAGTGGAAGAAAACTGGACAATTACAAATGGTGGTTTGGTCACCTGGAAGTGGATCCTGTTATTGTCTTCCTTTAAGTGATTAAAGATTTGTCCTGGAGAAAGACTCCACTTCGACATGTCAGTGTTAGGTGTGTGCATGCACACACATGTCTGTGTGCCTGCACCTGTACTTCTCCCACCCCTGCTGGCACCAAAAGTAAGACAGCTTATTAGGTTATATTAGCAATGCACGACAGTTTCTCTAACGCTAGAATACGCACGTTGTATTGTCTTACGTGTCTTAACGTGTCTGATAAAATTTTTCCCCAATTGCTATTTGATACATCAACAGATGGTTAACCGGAGTATAATTAAATAACGGAACAGACTTAATTAGTCTTCAGGAAACTCATTATTTTATCTCTTTTTTGCAGACGAATGTAATGTTAACTAAGAAAGGGAGCATATTTGACCTTTGTTAAAGTTAATCTCTTTTATAATTGAGATATAGGTTGTGAAAAGATAGAAAACTGAAGGTCAGAGTAGCAAGAAATGAAAGGTACTATGTCACTGGAGGTAACAACATTTTTATGTCATTTATTATAAAACAGAGAAATGTAAAAAATTAATTTTCTGTGGTACATAGGTGGACCTACTGACAAGCTGATGAAACTTAAACTTCAGTGCCCCTCTCTTAGACATGCCCCTTCCAAGGTCCTGTACCTAATTTTGCATTAGGTATTTTGTATTATTTTTTGTTGAAGTAAGACCAGCAAAATTGTATATATTTTGGCCCTATATAACCTGTATCAGCCCCCGTAAGATAAAATAATTCCCTTTACTTTTTCTATTAGAAATTAGTGTGGGGTATTTGTAAGATATATTTTTAAATAATAAAATTGAAAATTCATTGAAGTACCTACACGTAAGTGCCTTTCTCATAATATATATTAGGTAATATTTAAGAAGGTAGTTTTAGTTTTGCATAACAGAAAAACAAATGAGCGATATTTCAATTGTAGCTCTTTCATTTGGTTTGGAAAGAAATATTGAAAGATTTGGGATTTGAGTGTGGATGACTCAAGAGATTTGAAATTTTTCTTGAATATAATCTTGCTTCATTTTACCTTAGATAGAATGTAGTATGTTGGTGCTGATATTGTTTACAGAGTTAGATTTCATTTTCCTAACCAATCAAAGTCTAGAGTGAAATCATGGCATCATATAACTGGCAAGAAGCTCAGGGTAGATATAAGTTAGATTGGATAATGAGTCATCTTGACAACTTCTGTTTACTTTATATATATATGTAAAAGAGTGATTACATGTATGTATTTTTAACATAATTTTTCCATAAACAGTATCTTTATCTCAACATAGTCCTTGGGTGGCACAAATGGTTAAGCACTTGACTGCTAACTAAAAGGTTGGCACTTTCAACCCACCCAGACGCACTTCAGAAGAAAGGTCTGGTCATCTGCTTCCTAAGGATCACAGCCATGAAACCCCTATGGAGCAGTTCTACTCCGCATACATAGGGTCACCATCAGTCAGAGTCAACTAGAAAGTAACTGGTTTATCTCAGCATATATGATACCTAAAAGTATGTCTTCTAGGTAGATTGTAATTTATTAGTAGTGTAAAGATATTTTAATAGTCTCAATTTTTGGAGGTAATTTTTCCTCCCTTTTGTTACATTTTTAAATTAGTTAACATCTAAAAATCAACATTTGGTCTATTTTTAGGTCTTGTGTAGATTCACAGATTTCCATGGTCTCGTGGAAAGGTCTCCATTTTCCAACTGTTGTGAGATATTGTCCTCCTTTACAACCTCATAACAATGTTAACTTGATCTTTTGAAATACTTCTCTGTTTTCTATGAATGCATCCATGACTTCCTTTGTTTTGTATTTTTTGACACGGTGTCCTTAAGATAGGAAGTGAACCTTGAATTTAAATTTGAAATTTGAATCTATACAATTGTGCAAATTTTCTTGATGTCAATCTACCATGTAGGTTTACTTTCTTGGAATTTCTACCAGTGCCCCTCCTCTTTGTTACCATTGGGTTTAAAATAGAGCGGAGCTTGGTTACAGTCTCCAAATAGCTATCTGTTACATGTGTGTATATCAGCGTACTTGGAACGAGGGTACATTTATGGTATCAATAACGGCCTTTACAGTTTTATAGATAACAATTCTCTCCAGAAACTGTGGAGCACTAGACATCTGAGAGCAATACAGATGGCCACACTGGTTTGAAAGTACACATTCTTTTTTTTTTCTTCCAATGCATACACTACTGATTTTAAAAAAGTATGACTTTCAAGTGAATTAATTTATTGATTTGAAGGCCTGTTTGCTGAGTTCTATTACCTCTAAAGTCCTACTGAAACCTCTAAAGACTATGTTGAAAGCTAGAAAAAGAAAGAAAAAAAAAGGAATATTATATTAAGATAGAAAAATACTTTGAAGACGTTAAAAAACAGATTGTTTCAAATGAATGTATGCTTATAACAGAAGTCATGATCTACTTCGAATTATTGCGTATAGCAGTTATTTCAAACACTACCACATAGTACCTTTTTATTGCTTTGAAAGCAAAACAAGAAAAAAAATATAGCTACTATTATTGCACAAACTGCAAGAATTCTCCAAATATTTTAAGTAGTATTTTTTTTTTAAGTGTAAGATTATTTTGATCTTCTTAATTTATTTGGAAAAACGTGTTACCTAATAGTTTTCCCTTGTGTATGTTATAACTACTGTTATAAACCTGGAACTAAACTTTTAATACGTCTATCTTAAAACCTGGGTTCTGATTTTGACATTACAGGCAAGTCCCTGGATTACAAATGAGTTCCGTTCCTCAGTCTGTTTTTAAGTCGAATTTGTATGTAAGTCAGAACAGTCAGGTACGGTTCCAATCTAATGTCATTTAGTATATAGTATATAGTGTAACTTTCTATGCATTAAAAAAAATTAAAGAAACACTTCCAGGTACACTAGAACATTTTTAACATAATAATATGGTAATAATAATAATGTTTTGATGAGGGTAGCCAAGTAGTGTCCATTTGTTATTATGAACCATTGTATGCACCTCAAATTTTTTCTATAATAGGCTTTATGGGGGTTGGTTTGTAACTACGAGTTGTACGTAAGTCTGATGTTCATAACCTGAGGACTGCCTGTATCCATGTTCAGACAGTGGCATACCACTTAATTTTCTTATGATGTTTCCTAGAATCCATAGTACTATTAGCATATACTTTGCCTTTAAAACTTGATTGTTTGGAACATAGGCATTGGCCTCAAATTTCTCTCTCTTTCTAGATGGATTACAGCACAATGGTAACTAATGAATTGTCACTGGTACCTCTCCACATTTTGAGAACTTTGCAAATATGAGCACCAGGTGTGCTCAGAACACATTGATTAGTACCATGAAACACATTGTCTTCTCCCTATGCCACACAGGTGAACAAAGAAAACACGCGGTTGCGTTTTTCTCATGCTACACGTTATCTCCCTGTGGTTTTATAATAAGCACGAGTCAGAAAAAGGCAAGACAAATTGCCTCTTGTACTGAATGCTTGGTAAAGTTAATTTGTCTTACTTTTCGGATAAGCATTTGGGTCCTCATTATCACAGCACAGATTAAATGGTAGTGATGCACTGGCAGAGATGGTTTTTAGTTATTGACTCAGAACTCATCTCATGAGGAATCTCTCATGGCTTTTTATTACGCGTAAATCTGTATTTACTTTATAAAAATGGGTTTAGAAAGCTTGGTGTTAATATGTGACCTAGTCACTATAACTTCTGTTTCTAATTGTAAAGGGGTAGAAAAAGTCTTATGAATGTGGGTCTGTTCACATTAACCTATTATGTATGTATTCTGTATGAATGTATTTAAATACCTTTTATATTATAT